TTTTCTTAAAATATTTTTACTTGAAAGGTGCCTGGGTGGCTCAGTCAGTTAAGCGGCCGACTTTGGCTCAGGTCATGATCTCACAGTTCGTGGGTTTGAACCCCGCATTTGGCTCTGTGCTGACTGCTCAGAATCTGGGCCCTGTGTCTTCCTCTCTTTCTGTCCCTCCCCCACTCGTGTTCTGTCTCCCTCTGCCTCTCAAAAATGAATAAACGCTAAAAAAATTTTTTTTAGGGTGCCTGGGTGGCTCAGTGGGTTAAGCATCCGACTTCAGCTCAGGTCATGACCTCGAGGTTCGTGAGTTCGGGCCCCACATCGGGCTCTGTGCCGACAGCTCAGAGCGCGGGGCCTGCTTTGGATTCTGTGTCTCCCTGTCTCTCTGCCCCTCCCCCGCTTGTGCTCTGTCTCTCTCTGTCTCTCAAAAAGGAATAACCGTTAAAAAAATTTTTTTTTAATTTAAAAAATATTTTCGAGTATAGTTGATACACAACGTTACATTAATTTCAGGTGTACAACATAGTGAAATCTCTATCATTCTTTTAACTCAAAGTCAAACTGGTTAACTTGGATAATTGGGACCTTGAATATATCTGCAAAATCCCTTCACCTTTACCATATAATGTAAAGGGAGTGATACCTCATCATTTTTACCATGATTTTTATTGGTTAGAAGAAAGTTACATGTCCTACTCATATGCAACAGGAGAGTACACAAATGTGTGGATATCAGGAGTGATTACAGACAGGGGCATCTTGGAATTCTGCCTGTCATGGAAAGGGAGTGTTCTAGGCAGCAGAAATAGTAAGTGCAAAGGTCCTGAGGTGCAAATGTGTCTGGCATGTTCAAGGAATAGCAAGGAGGCCAGAGGGGCCAGAGCAGAGTGAGTGACCAAAGACCTGGGGTCAGAATGTTAATGTGGGGCCAGGTCAGATTGGGCCAAATGCAATGGGGAACCAGGGAAGGCTCAGCAGAGAGAAGCAATGTGACTGGATTTACAAGTTATTAGGACAACTTTGGAGATTATATAGTTTTTTTCAACTATAGGACAAAGGTGGAATCAGGGAAGCCGGTGGGGGAGCTACTGCAGAATCCCCACAGGGGATGACAGCGGGCTGGACCAAGATGGTGGGTGTGTGGAGGGAGAAGTGATCTGATTCCAGGCATGTTTAGAAGGAAGTGTCAGTTGGGGGTTGTTGATGGGTTGGATACGGGCGAGAGAGAAAAAGAGGAATCCAAGATGACTCCAAGGTTTTAGAGCTGAGCAGTGGGCAGGACAGAGCTGCCATCAACTGGGATGAGGACCCTGAGTGTGGCACAGCTTTGGGTTGGGAAGGGCAGGAGCTCAGTGTGGGCATATGATGTTTGAGATGCCCATCCCACATCTGAAGGAGACTTTGAGCAGGCGTTTGGATACGAGGGTCGGGAGTTCAGGAGAGGGCTAGGCTGAAGACACGTTCATCTGGACATCATCAGTATCAATATTTAAAGGCATAGACCAGAGCGAGCTCACCCAGGAGGAGTAGAGATGGAGAAAGGGTTGAATTGTGCTCTTAAACAGACCATGGATGGAGCGCAGGTAAGAACAAGAATGTAGCGTGAAGACAGGCTTTCAAGGAGGAGGCAATGATCAGCTGTGCCAAATGAGGCTGTCATGAAAGTGGAATTTCACTAAACAATTTCAATAAGGTATAATTTGTGTAGCATAACACCCACCCATTGTAATCACACAGTCTGACGATTTTAGTAAACGGTTGTGCAGCCTTTACCCCAATCCAGTTTTAGAACACTTTCATTCCCTGAAAATGTCCCTCATGCCTGTTTGCCATTGCTCCCTGCTCTCATTGCCAGCCCCAGGAAACCACTGATGTCGTTTCACCCTTTCTAGAAAGTTCCTATTAACGGAAGTATATGGTGTGTAATTTTTCGTGTCTGGCTTCTTTCATTTGCCATAGTGTTTTTGAGGCTCATCCAAGTGATTGCATGTGTCAGCAGTTGGTTCTTCTCTATTGCTGAGTAGTTCATGGATGTACCTCGTTTTGCTTATCCATTCACCAGCTGATAAACATTTAACTGTTTCCTGTTTTGACCATTATAATAATCTTGCATTTCTATACAAGTCTTTGCGTGGACACGTTTTCATTTCTCTTGGGTAGTTATCTAGGAGTAAAATTGCGGGGTCATAAAATATATGTCCCGTTAACTTTTTAAGAGGTGAACAGTGTCGGGATGCAAGGGTGTTTCAATGTTTGCAAGTCAATCAATGTGATATATCGCATCAACAAGAGAAAGGATAAAAACCATATGATCATTTCAATAGATGTCAAAAAAGCATTTGACAAAGTGCAACATCAATTCATGATTAAAAAAAAAAAACACTCCACAAATAGGTTTAGAGGGAACATATCTCAACATAATAAAGGCCACATATGAAAACCCCACAGATATCATTATATTCAATGGTGAAAAACTGAGAGCTTTCCCCCAAAGATCAGGAAAAAGACAAGGATGTACACTCTCACCACTTTTATTCAACATAGTACTGGAAGTCCTAGCCACAGCAATCAGACAAGAAAATAAATAAGGCATCCAAATTGGTAAAGAAGTAAAACACTCACTCTTTGCAGATGACATGATACTATATACAGAAAACCCTAAAAACTCCACCCAAAACTACTGATTAGTGAATTCAGTAAGATTGCAGGATACAAAATCAATGTACAGAAATCCGCTGCATTTATAAACACTAATAACAAAGAAACAGAAAGAGACATTAAGAAAATAGTCCCATTTACAATTGCACCCAAAATAGGGGCACCTGGGTGGCTCAGTCAGTTGAGTGTCCAACTCTTGATTACAACTCAGGTCATGATCCCAGGGCTGTGGGATCAAGTCCTGTGTTGGGCTCTGCATTGAGTGTAGAGCCTGCTTAGGCTTCCCACCCCCTCTCTCTGTCTCTCTGTCTCTCTCTCTCCCCCTCTCCCCTGCTTGCGTGTTTGCCCTCTTGCTAAATTAAAAAAAAAAAAAAAGATATTAAAACAATTAAACAAGCAAGAACAATTGTACCAAAAATAGTAAAATAGCTAGGACTAAACTAAACCAAGAAGGTGAAAGACTTGTGCTATGAAAACTATAAAACACTGATGATGAAAGAAAGTGAAGACGGCATGAACAAATGAAAGGATATTCCATGCTCGTGGCTTGGGAGAACAAATATGACGAGGATGTGGAGAAAAAGGAATCCTCTTGCACTGTTGGTGGGAATGCACACTGGTGCAGCCACTGTGGAAAACAGTATGGAGTTTCCTCAAAAAATTGAAAGTAGAGGGGCACCTTGGTGGCTCAGTCGGTTAAGTGTCTGACTTCGGCTCAGGTCATGATCTCTTGGTTCATCAGTTTGAGTCCGCATCGGGCTCTCTACTGTCAGTGCAGAGCCTGCTTTGGATCCCCTGTCCCCCTCTCTCTTTGCCCCTCCTCCATGCATTCTCTCTCAAAAATAAATAAACATTAAAAAAAATTGAAAGTAGCATTACCATATGATCCAGTAAATTCCACTACTGGATATTTACCCAAAGAATATGAAAACACTAATTCAAGAAATATATGTACCCTTATGTTTTATTGCAGCATTATTTACCATACTAAATTACAGAAGGAGTGTCCAAGTGTCAACCCACAGATGAATGGATAAAGAAGAGGTGATATATATATACATATACACACACATATACGTACATATACACATATACGTGTATACATATATGTATATACACATATACATATATGTACATACACATATGTGTGTATATACACATATGCATATATACATATGTGTATGTGTATGTACATACACATATATACATATATGTATATATACACATACATATACATGTGTATGTATATACACATACATACACACATACAATAGAATATTACTCAGCCATACAAAGCCATACAAAGGAATGAAATCTTGCCATTTGCAGCAACACGGATGGATCTAGAGAACATAATGCTAGCTGAAATAAGTCAGAGAAAGACAAATACCATACGATTTCACTCGTACGTGGGATTTAAGAAACAGACGAACACTAGCAACAAGAGACTAACCAAAAAACAGACTCAACCATAGGGGGGAGGCGGGTGGGGGGATGGGTGAAATAGGGGAAGAGGATAAGAGCCCACTCATCATGACCGCTCCGAGGAATGGAGACAACTGTTGAATCACTATATTGTACCCCCGAAGCTAATATAACACCGTATCTTAACTATACTGGAACAAAAATAAAGATAAAATAAAATAGAAACAATAGAGTGCTGTAGAGCAGTAATCTTAAAAAAAAAAAAAAAAAAGAAAAGAAAAGAAAGAAAGAAAGGTGAGCGGTGTCCCCTCTGCCTGATGGTCCTGGTGTGGAGCCAGTTGAAGCCCCAGGGAAGGACTCCCAGTGGTGGCTGGAGGGACAGTAGGGCTGACAGGGCTGAGATGGCGTGTGCATGCGTCCCGCAGAATGGTCTACGATGCTGAAGCCACCTTCTCTATTCTTATGCCAGAGGGGCTCAGCAGTTCCCACGGAAATCGCACAGCCCCAAGGACAGCAGCCCCGGGGAGTGGTTTCAACGAGGCTCTCAGGACTGTTCGGGAATGAGGTTTCTTTGTTGGGACTAACGGTTCTCTCCCCACATCTTGGTTGCAGATCTCGAAAATAGCCCCCCCCCCCCCCCCCCCCCCCCCCGTGGTCTCTGAGCCCTAAGTCTGCCCTCAGGAGGCTGTTTCTGGTGTTTTCCGAGGCCCACCTCTCGGATGGGTGCGCGGACAGACCAGAGAATCCATTGCCCTTTTTCTTTTCCCATAAAGGGAGTTCCTCCATCAGAGGCAATTTGGTGGGACATCCATCGTACTGTATGAGGCGTCCGGTGGGTCCCTGCCGCTGTCGGGTTGGGCTCTCAGCAGTGACGGTAGCCAGGTCGGCGTTGGTGAGGGCAAGTCCGTGAGCTCGAGCACCCACTCGGCCGCAATCCCCACCACCGTGACCATGTCGTTCTTGAGTCCAAGCAACAAGACGTGCGGTGGGAGGGGCTGAAGGGTGCCTGACATGTGCAGGCACGGAGTTACCTTACTCCCAGATTACTGACAGCCCACGTCTGCTGTAGGTCCTTTTGGTGAGCTTCCTAAAGAGACACAAATATTCCCCAACTTCAGGTCCGTTCTGAAGGTCCATCCACATACTCTCCCACAGGCCTCCGTGTTACCCCCCCTCCCCCTCACATAGCTGCTAAGTGCCAAGCCCCTTATCATGCAGCCAAGTCATCAGCTACTTGCCTGTCCCTAAGGGTGTCTCTAGTCCCAGGTAAAGCGGTTGTGATACTGCGTCTCCAGGGCTGCTAGCTGGGGAAAGCCATCTCCTTACTGTCCTTCAGGGCCACTCGTGAGCGAGACAGCAACACCACAGCCATCTGCCATCTGGATATGAGCTGTTTAAAAACAGGACTCCGTTTTCCTCCTCTTTGGTCAGTTGGCCACATGAGACTCCCCATGAGATCACAAATAGGACTTGAGGGGGCGCCTGGGTGGCGCAGTGGTTAAGCGTCCGACTTCAGCCAGGTCACGATCTCGCGGTCCGTGAGTTCGAGCCCCGCGTCAGGCTCCGGGCTGATGGCTCAGAGCCTGGAGCCTGTTTCTGATTCTGTGTCTCCCTCTCTCTCTGCCCCTCCCCCGTTCATGCTCTGTCTCTCTCTGTCCCCAAAATAAATAAATAAATAAATAAAAAATAAAACAAAAAAAACAAATAGGACTTGAGGAAGGCGCATGCGTTCAGGGACAGTGCATCTGCCCCTGCCCCTGCTGCCATCTGCCCCACAGCGGGCCGCACATACATGAGGGAGCCCAACCGAGGGCAGACGAATCATCCTGACATAGACTCGTGAGCAGTAACAAGTATTTATTGTTTCAGACCATGAAGGTTTGGGGTGGTTTGTGATACAGAATAGGCTAACCGAAACCCACCTGGAGTGTCAGCATCAGGCAAACTCTGACAGGGCTGGGGGACTAGGGAAGATCTGTTTTTCCAAGGGAGCTAGGGACTTGTCAAAAAGGGTTATAGCTTTGTTCTGAAACCTGAGGGACTTCTGACGTGAGATCTCACTGGAGCTTGCCACAGGCTTCCCCAGCATTCTGGTCCACGGGGGACATCTTAAGCACGAGGGGACTCTCTGGGTCACAGGTCTAAAAGATAGAACTGCCTGCCATGCAGCTGGATGGCCCGTGGTGTCCTCTTGCCTTAGAAGACTCTCCGAGCCGGCAGTCGTTCTGGTTCGGGCACATGGGTCAGAACAGCACATTCAAGGGTGGCCAATGTGGACCCCAAAATCGAGAGGGTCACCATGCACTGTGAACCCTTTTCAGGGGTAAAAGGCGCTAGGTATAGCAATTTGCCCGTCATCTTTTGGGGGTAGAAAGACCATCTGTTTTGCTGTTAACTATAAAAGCAACATACATATTTAGGGGCGCCCGGGTGGCTCAGTCGGTTGAGCGACCGACTTCGGCTCAGGTCATGATCTCCTGGTTCGTGACTTCCAGCCCCGCATTGGGCTTGCTGCTGTCAGTCTGCTCTGGATCCTCTGTCCCCCTCTCATATGCCCCCCTTCCTGCTCATATGCTCTCTCTCTCTCTCTCATAATAAACAAACTTTAAAAAAATAACAAAACAAAAGCAACACACGTTTATATAAAGAGGATATTCATATGATGCCCTCTTTACCTTCGTGGCCAACAAATTTATGCAGTCACTTCTCACTACGTCATCGTGCCCTTGTGATGGAAAGTATTTTTCCTTCGCTTTTATTTACCAGAGTGAAATTTATATAAAGTGTACAAACCTGAGATGTACGGCTCAATGGATTTTTACCTATTGACACACTGTGAAAATAGCACAACGACCAGCACTCGCAGAGACCCCCGTGCACTCTCTTGTTCAGCAGCCCGAGAGCCTCTCCTCTAATGAGTATCGTAATTGGTTAGTTTTGCCTGGTTCCCAATCCATCTGGGTGTAATCATAGAGTATGTCCTGTCTTATGTCTGGCTTTCTCTGCTCGACATAATCTCCCGGAGATTCACCCAATGCTGTTACATACAGTCGTGGCTCAACTCTGTGTTATTGCTGGGTAGGGTTCAGTTGTACGAACATACTAGAAGCTGTGTACCCATTACTCTGTTGGTGGACTTTTGGGTTATCTTCAGTTTTTAGCTATTATGAATAGAGCTTCTATGAACAACCCTCTGTGTGCCTTTTGGCAGACGTATCATTTCTCTTGGGTATATACCTGTGAGCGGAATTGCCAGATTCAGGAGTTTTCGTATGTTTAGTTTTCCCTATCAGCACAGTGTGAGACATGTCTCTTACTTTTGACGACATGTCCCAACTTGCCCCAGACATATGAGTCCCAGAAATGTCATTGACGTGGCAAGCCATTGGGTTTCTATGGGGTTATCTCTCACCGCCCCCCCCCCCCCCCCCCAACACACATATATTTTATAAAGGCACGAAGCTATATCCTGTTTCCTAGGTCCTACTTACGTCCTGACTGCCACAAGCTTTGGTTCTGATCAGAGGGCCACAGTGGAACTCTGGGTCCCTGGGGATTAGTGTACCCAGAAATTCCAGGAAGGTCTGGGAATTTTTCCTCCCCTACTCCAGTTACACAGGTAACTGGACTCTTTGGCAAACACTAGGAGGAAGATTTATAGTACAAACATGTAATGTTATTGTAGGGTTTTTCCTTTACCCAAGTGGCCCTGGTCTATGAATGAAGACAAGTCTGGTGACCGGGCAAGGGACTAGGATGCTATATTGCAGGGGTGCAGGTTGGGCCCCAATTCACCACAGACAGGGTATTTTGGCCATTTAGAGTGGGACCTTAGTGGGCTTCCTGATTATTTAAGACCTGGGAGACCCATGACAATTAGTACCTCCCAAAGATCCCCATGAATCAAATCACTCTTATTAGCACAGCATACACACTCAACAAAGGGCTCATAGTCACAATCTGAAACTCCTACAAAATCAACTGAAAAAGACAAACGAGCCAAGACAGAGCCACAAAAGGAGCTATACAATTATCCAGGGGCCCCTGGCTGGTTCAGTTGGAAAAGTGTGTGGCTTTTGATCTCAGGGTCATGGGTTTGAGCCCACGTTGAGCATAGAGATTACTTAAATAACCTTAAAATTTTTAAGAGAAGCGAAACAGTTGTCCAGTAAAAATGAAAAGGTACTTATCCCACTGGTTATCGGGGGGAAATTAAAATTAAAATCATCAGGAGACACATGCTCACAAGAATAGCTAGAATTTGGGGCACCCGGATGGCTCAGTTGGTTTAGTATCAGACTCTTGGTTTTGGCTCAGGTCGCGATCTCACAATTTGTGAGTTCGAGCCCCACATTAGGCTCTGCGCTGGCCGGGGCACAGCCTGCTCGGGATTCTCTCTCTCTCTGCCCCTCCCCTGCTCTCTCTCTCTCTCTCTCTCTCTCTCTCTCTCTCAAAAACAAAAAAAATAAACTTAAAAAAAAAAAAAGAATAGCAAAAATTTAAAAGGCTAGCATTACCACGTGAATACAGAACAGCAGGAACCTTCATACACTGCTTGGTAGGGAACTACTTGGGAAATCTCCCTGCAGTGAGATTTCTAAAGCTGAACCTGTACTTACCACATGGCCCAGCAGTTCCACTCCAGAAACATACCTCTGAGCATCAAAAGACACATCCAAGGGTGCTTATCTTGGCGGCACTATTTGTAACAGCCCCAAACTGGAAACAGCCCCTGTGTCCATCAACACCAAAGTGGACTAAATGAACTTACACAATAGCAATAAAGCAATGAAAAGAAACAAACTACTACTATGTGTGAAGACATCTCCCAGTCATTGTGTTACGTGGAAGGATGTATATGGATAGAAAGGTGTGATTTCATTTACATGAGGTTCAAACGGAGGCCCACTGAATTCTTTGTGCTGGGGAGGGGAAGGAGGGGAGAAGGGCTCCCATCAGAGAGATGCTTCTTGATCTGGTGTTGGTTTTGCACTAGGCTTATTTTGTGAAAGTTAGCAAAATATTTAAGATTTGTGCACTTTTAGGTATGTATATTTCAGTTAAAAAGTTTAAAGTAAGAAGAAGTTTCTTGTTCTGTAGAAGATGAAACACGCATACTTCGCCCTGAGTCTCTCACTGAACGCTACCATGCTATAATTTTGGACAAAATGCGTGGAGTGGCTGCCTGAGGACTCTGAAATGTGAAAGGTAGCAGGCAGGTGGGGAGGGAGACTGGAATACGAAGTTCCAGGGCACCAGTGGGTGAGCCGACCATGCTTTCCCCTCTAGTACTGTCCGGCCACAACTCAACGTGCGCACCAGTGTGGACAGAAATGATTCCGAAAGTCCTGTCTGGTCTGGGGAGTCAGGATATCGTCTCCTAAAGTCAGAGAGAGTGGGGAAGCTCCCTTTTTTTCAGTCCTCACCGCCTGATGCTATGGCAGCAGAAACGATAGCAAAAGGTGGAAGCAAAGCAAAAGCAGCGGCGCCCAGACGGGCACTTAACCGTCTGCGGGAGGGGGATGCTTGTGACTGTCGCGCAGCATCACGAGAGTACTGGATTGGGTATCGCTGGCCTGAGAAAAGAACAAAATTCAAAAGTCGAAGTACGGTTTCTACTGAATGCATATTGCTTTTGTACCATTGTAAAGTCGAGCCATCCTAAGACAAGTACTACAGCGGTCAAATTCTTACATTTTTGAGGGTGCTGTCACTGTCTTGATAAGACTGCCCTCTGCTGGAGGTAAGGGGAGCTGCAGGGCAGATCTTGGCCTCTTCCAGAAATTCATTCCCAGTTTGACTGTATTTGGTATGTAATTCTTCTTGGCCCATGGTATGATTTGAGGTCGTTCTCTAGTTTAATTAAAAAATAATACGGGCGCCTGGGTGGCTCAGTCGGTTAAGCGGCCGACTTCGGCTCAGGTCATGATCTCGCGGTCCGTGGGTTCGAGCC